CCCTCACAGAGGGCTGCTGCGGGGCCGGGAGGGCGCGGTGGGGACTCTGCAGGACGCGGGTATTTTTAGGCGCTGAACGAAGCTCTGAAGTATGTCCATGGCCCCTCCCGAGGGCAGGCTGGGTGGCTGCTTAGGAGCCGGGATCCAGTAGAGGCGGATGGGATGGAGGGCGTGAGTCACCGCCTGGTGGCTGAGGCCAGGCGGGCGAGGGAGGGAGGGAACACGCAGAGGCTGGTGCTGCCCAAGGGAGGCTCACCCAGTCGGTCCTCACCAACTCCCACAGCTTGTAAAAAGCAACGTCTGGACAGCATGAAGGTTCCCAACGATGCCCCTCTGAGATAGGACTATGCATTTATCGAGCCCTTAATGCTTCCTTTCTACTAGGCTGGCCCCAGGGTGATCACCACGCTGTGCACTTCTTCTACCAGGCTAGCCTTAGGAGTCTGCCACACCAAGATGCTCACAGTGATGACTGCCGTGCCACATATTTACTGGGTCCATGCTGTGCACGAAGCTGATTGATTGGTCTGTCGCAGCACACATTTATTTAGCACCTGCGGCATACCAGGCTGATCCTAGGAGTGATGATCATTGTGGCACACATTTGCTGGGCTCTAGGCCAGTAATTTGCCCTCAGCGTGCACTTATTAACCACTTACTGCATACCAGACCGGCCTTTGAGTGGTCAGCACATCATTTATTGAACATGTACTGAGGTGCTGGTGCAGAGAGGAAACTGAGGCACGGTGGGGTTGAAGTGGTCAGGCACCTTACCTAACTAATGCTTCCAGGCCTGTCTGGCCTCACTGCCAGGCTGAAGGGCCTTGTTTTGCTGTGTAGTGCTAGGGAGGGAAGCCCAGGCCTCCACACAGGCTGAGGGAGCCACACCCCTGCCCAGGGGAGGATTTTTTTTTTTCCAAGTTTATCGCTGAGAAGCCCAGCAAGCTCTGCACAGGGGAGGAGCCCACAGAATAAAAGTTCTTAACAAGAGCCAGGACCTCCTGCTCCTGTCCACACCAAGTTCTGTTACCCATTGTGCATGCATGCTGTGCCTTGAGACAGGGTCTCACTGTGTAGACCAGGCTAGCTTGCCTCTGCCTCCAGTGCTGGGATTAAAGGGATGTGCCACTAAAGAGGTGTTCCACTCTCTCTGCTCCTGGGCAGTGAACAGGATGCCTTCTGTAGGTAGTGTCAGGAGCCTTGGCAATCCTCTGGGAACAGGTAGGTCCGAGGAGTCTTCCTTTCTCCATCTGAGGTACTGAGGGGACGAGGGGTTGGAATTAGCCACAAAGCTGAGCAAGGCTGGAGCACGGGCAGGACGGACCCTGGGTTCAGGTCTCCATAAGTGATGGAGGAAGGGTGGCTGAGGAGCTGCTGCTTACCCATCAGCAGGTCTGAACCATGCACCTCTCTCTGGCTCCCATCCTCAGGCACACTGACAGGCTCTAATGTCGCTGTCCTTGCGCTTCCTTGCTATAGGAAGGAGGAGCTTCCTGAGTCTCCTCCTCCCTGGCTGAGCCCATCACCTCATCTGCTTACCCAGCGTGCACTCCTCCAGCTCATGTCTACTGGCCACAGGGCCTTTGCATCTGCCTGAAACACTAACTAGGTGGCTGGCCCTGCAATACACCCCCAACTTATAGTACTCAGGGTCAAAATCAGGGCTTCGCGCACACTAATCAGTGCTCTATGACTCTCTCTGGCACCCGAGGGTTAGAGGACAATTTGTAATCCCTTCTCCAAGTCCACCATATGGGTGCTGGAGATCAAACTCAGCTTGTCAGCCCCACTTGTCCTGAATGTCATCTGACCCCTTCCCTGGCTGCTTCTTCAGCTGGCCTCCTCCCTGGTCCTTTCTTTCTGTGGTGGTGTATTTGGTCTCTCTGTGGCAGGGTCCCCCTAGGGGAAGGACAGGGCTGCAGGGCAAGGGCTCTGCTGTTGGCTAGGTGCCAGTCCTCCCACATTTGAACAATCATTGTAAGATGTCCTGATGACCACAAGGTTAGTGGCCAGGCACTCAGTGCCCCTTAAGCTGTGTTACTAAGGCCTGCCTGTGAGGAGTCAGAGGGGTAACTGGGACATAAATACCGTGGGAAGTCACCCGTCATGGAAGGTGCCCCTCTGCAGTCCTTGGACCTGGGTGAGTCACCCTGCAGTGTGGTGGTGGGGTGGGGAGGAGGAACTGCCTACAGGACAGCAGCTGAGATCAGGTGATGGGTGTGGATAGCAGCCCTGAGGGCCTGGCTTAGAAGGGTCTGGAAGGCAGCCTTCAGGAACTGGGTCTGGCTTATGGCTTCCTCTCTTCTGCGAGGGGGTAAGGCTTGGTTCTTGGAACTCACTCAGCTCAGAAGCTTCTAGAATGCACCTAAACCAGGGCACACGAGGCAGGAAGCAGCTGGCTGTTCTTTGCCCTGTGCTGCAGGAGAGTGGTGGGACAGGCATGGAATGAGCACTGAGGACCAGGGCTGAGCTGGCAGGAAGCTGCAGGGCCACAGGGGCAGAGCACGGGGACAGGAAACAGACACAGGGGACCTGGATGGGGCCAGGGAGCTGCTGTCACTAAACTACAGATCGTAGCCCAGCACAGTGGCACAGGCCTTTAATCTGAGCACTTGGGATGCAGAGGCAGGAGGACCTCTGAGTTCCTGGTCTGTAGAGTGAATTCCAGGCCAGGTAAGGCTACATAGTGAGACCTTGTCTCAAAAAGGAATGACAAAAGTCCACATACTAGGATTTGCTTTGTTTGGTGTTTTGTGGCATGGTCTTCTAGCTGATAGCCTGGAACTCACAGCAATCCTCCAGTAGCTGCCATACCAGGCCAGGCTCACAGGGAGGATAGCATGGGGCCCACGGACTGGAGTTGGAGTGCCTATACCTGCCGCAGCTGTTACCCCAGGGTAGATCTCAACATGGTGTCCAGCCTTCTGCAACATGTTCTCTTTACACACAGTTGGGGCAGGGTGTCACATGGGACCCAGATGTGGCCCTGTGGTAGAACCCATCAAGACCAGGCCAAAATGACAGGGCCACCTGCAGCCTGGCACTCAGGCTCAGCTGAGGTGGACACAGGGCAGCACTGACCCTCACAACTAGTTGGCTTGCACTCTGTTTTCGAAGACAGGGTGACAGGGTTTCTCTATGTAGCCCTGGCTGGCTGGAAACTCTCTGAAGAGCAGGCTGGCCTCTGTCTCTGCTACTGTGCACCATGCTTATGCTGAAATATATTATTATCTTCACTGTGTGTTTGTATGGGTCATGAGCAGTTGTGGAGACTGGGGACAGAGCCCCCATGGCAGAGCTAAGCAACAGGAGCCTCTGGGCTCTGTCCCAAGCTTCCCAGTGGCTGTGACTTCATTTCCAACATCATCTTCTGGTCTTCACAGGCACCAGGTATGCATGTGGTAAATACACACATGGACACACACACACATAAGTCCCGTGCTGTGCTCTCCCTGGGTGCACTTGTCCTGTAGTACGCTGGAGTTGTATGGAGTCAGGACTGTTCTGCCTGCTGAAGCAGTTGGCCGGCCTCGGCTTTGACTTCCCTCTCCTGTTCCAGCCTCCTCCGCAGCTCAGCCATTACAGGCCTGGCTTTTTAGTGCTCTGGAGCCCCGGCTATGTAAAGCTCCTGGGGGTACTACCTCTCAGCCTCCCAATGCGGGATCTGCTCTCCTCTCCTCTACCAGCAGGACACACAGACAGCCCCCCCCCCCCAAGGAAACTGCTCCCTCTGATGAGACCCAGGTGCCCTGGGGACAACGTGTGCAGGGCTTAGGGAAGTGAGCTGGGTTGGGGGTGGCAGACGGATGGCTGGCTCCCTCTATGGTGTTTTCCTTTATTTTTTCCAACAGAAGACATAAGGGGTGCGTCTGGTAAAGGACAGGCAAGCCGCTATGTGCTAAGCCTGCAGCTCCGACATGAAACTCAAACAAGCCTGGAAGAAGCCCGCCCTTCAAAGAACAGCCAAGGCTTCACAGGCAACTCAGACTCGGAGCCTTCCAGAAACTCAGTCAATGGCCAGCCAGGGACCTCACTGGACCAGATGCCAAATGTAGTTTCACGCAAAGGTGCCCAGAGGTCTCACCCACCGACCTGGGCTCTGCTCAGGCTGGGACTGCTCACTGCTTGCCTGCCTGCCGCCCTGGCTTCTTCTCCGGCTGGCCTCGGCCTGCGCCTGGGATGCCACCCCGGCCCCGGCCACCAAACACACCTGCACAAGACAAAAGAGGAAGAGCTAGACACCAGCTTCCCTGGGCAGGGACAGGGTCTTTTCCTCTGTGCCCCGTCCCACTGCATAAGGGGCCCGTGGGAAATTCCAGGTTATACTCAGCCTGGAGAAAGGGCCCTCCTCAGCCTACAGGAGCCCACACCACCATGCCCTACATGGAGAATGTACAGGATGCAGAGAGGCGAGTGCCTGGGTGTCCCTCCCCCACCTCGTCCTCATCGGGACCCCACCTCGGCCAGCGCCGCCCATCCCTCGGCCTTTCTGCTGCTTCTGCTGCTGCGGTCCTCCTCGGCCGCGGCCCTTGGCAGCCTCCTCCCGCACCATGTCGATGATCTCATCGGGGATACGCAGGTACTTAATGGTGCTGCCACGGATGTAGCACTCGGGCATCCTCCAGAACTTGTCACCGTCCTGTGGAGAGGGGCGTGTTACAGTGGGCTCAGAGCACCCAGGCCGGCCATGGCCCTCCGAGCACAGAGCACCCAGGCCGGCCATGGCCCTCCGAGCACAGAGCACCCAGGCCAGCCGTGGCTCCCCGAGTGAGCGCTCACCCTCGACGTGCAGATCACCTCACGGAGGTTGATGTTCATCCAGTTGTCGCAGCTCACCAGGTGCCCATTGTAAGTCTCCCCGTTCTTCAGCTCCACCAGCTGCAGGAGACCCCACAGCCTAGTTCAAACACACCCGCTTCTCATCCCAAATGATGGCTTTCTGTGCAGCTAATCAACCTTTAAAGGCTGGGCTGCCATTCCTAAGCCAGTGCTGTGATGAGCAGGCACCGCCCAGGTTCCCCAACCCAATGCCTGGACAGAAACAAATGAAAACTCCACACTAGCTGGCCATGGTGTCACACACCTGCGGCTCCAGGACTCTGGCGGCTGAGGCAGGAAGATAGTGAGGACACAATGGGCAAGCCCAGTCTGGTCACCTACAGGAAGAATATTACACAGCCAAGAAAAAAAAAAACTCTCAAAACCACTGAGTGACACAGACAAGCCACACGTTCCTCACTCAGAGATGCTCACAAGCTGCAAAGGCAGGAGCACAGGTCTGGTGGGAGCAGTGCACAGGCGGCCAGGGCTGGAGTGAACTGGAGGTGGGCTGAGAGGAGTGAGGACACATCACAGGCAGTGCTCCCTCCGTGCTACCTCGGAGGGAACCCGAGCCTGCAGCGTGCAGGGCTACATCCTGGCTGCTTGGCCACACTGTTGCTCCTTTTCAAAAAAAAAAAAAATTGTTCAACCAGCGGCAATCCTCCTGCTGCAGCCTCCCAGGCACCTGGGATGACAGGTGACCTGGTCTGTGCTAGGGGCTCTCGGGGCGAGACCAGGGATACGTGAGTTGCACTGTGCCCCAGTTTCTTCTTGACATTACTTTTCAAACATTTCTTTTGGATGTTTTACTTTGTACTGCACTTGCCGTTCTGTCTGTGTGCAGAGAGGACAGAAAACAACTTCAGGGAAGTCACGACCCCCTTCCATCATCATGTGGGTCCTGAGGATTGAACTCATGTCCTTCAGCTTGGCAGCAAACACCTTTACCCACTGAGCCATCTTGCCAGGCCTTCAATCATGAACTGCAGAGGACTGGGGTGTGGGCACATGAAGGGAGGTGGCCCAGAGTGGCCATGCTTACCATGGGGTGATTCTGTGCTGTCTTCAGCAGCGACAAGGGAAGCTGGAAGGCAAATGTCAGTGTGAGGAGTGGTCCCCAACTCAGGGACGACCACATGGGCATGGCTACCCCCAATGCATCTGTCTGTGTTCAGGTCACGGGTGACCTCGCATCATCCCATCCTACAGGTGTTAGCCACCTGGGCCTCCCGGACCATTTTGGCCATTTCTCCACAACTCCTGTCACCTAGAACCACAGAAGGGGGCACAGTCCTCTATCTGAAAGTAACAACCTTGTAGCTTTTCTGAGGCAGAACCTTGTCATAAGCCCAGGCTGGCTACAGCTTCTGTATGCTCAGGGCTGCACACCAGCCTGCTTCACAGCCCGTTCCTGTGCTTCCAGAATGGGTGACTTGGGTCGCCTGGGCCCCATGGGAAGGGCTGAGGACAAGGAGACAGAAAGGCTGGTGACATTCTGCCTTCCGGTGCCAGCACCATAAAGACCAACATAAGACAGGGTGTGCTGTGGCACACCCGTCACCCAGTGCCAAGGAGGCTGAGGCAGGGGGATAAGGAGTTTTAGATAATCCTCAGTTACAGTCTGAGGTCAGCCTGGATTACATTAGACTTGTCTCCAAAATTTACACAAAAATCAAAATACAGCCAGGCATAGAGTGCACACATTCAATCCCTGCACTGAGAGGCAGAGGCAGGTGGATCTCTGTAAGTTCCAGGCCAGTTGGGTTACACAGTCAAACAAACACAAACACCACAAGGGGCTGGAGAAATGGCTCAGCAGTTGAGAGCACTGGCTGCTCTTTTTGGGTTCAATTCCCAGCACGCACACGCTAGCTCACACATGTCTAACTCCAGTACCAGGGGATCCGTCACACAGAGACATGCATACAGGCAAAACACTAATGCACATGAAAACATAAATCATGTTAAAAACAGAAGAAACAAAACAACAACAAGGGCCCCAGATCCTCAGGGCCATCATCATGCCCAGCATGGTGACTTCGGGTCATGAGAGGACTGGGGGAGCCTGCAGCACAAGGCCCTTCCCAAGAAGAGCTGGGGGACGGGGGTGGGGAAGGTTAGTGGCAGGAAATGAGGCTCAAGCCCACTTCCTGCAGAGGCTTCCTGGAAGGGTAGGAGGCAGAGGGTGGCATTTGTGAAAATGGGTGGGGGGGCGGGTGGCCTTGGTGACCAGTGACAATGGTGTCTAGCCTGATCCTCAAACAGTGGAAAAGAGCCACAGCATGGCAGCCTGTGGCTAAGCTCCAGGGAGTTGGAGCCATGGTCATCCTTGGCTACAGTATGAAGCCAACCTGGGCTACATGAGATCCTGTTTCAATAAAGGAACAAATAAAACAGCCAAAACCCCAAATACAAGGCATAGCAAGGGGTCAGGGGCAGACACTGCTAAACAAGGACACACACACACACACACACACACACACAGAGATACACACACACAGAGATACACACACAGACACACACACACCTCTTCTGGAACTGCTATGGCCCAGAGCAGGCCTGGACCCTACTGCTGCACGTCTGTCCCTCCTGCCAGGGCCCAAGCCACCACCCAGGGTGCCCTCCCCCAAACTCTCTTTGCCCAATCCTGCTGAGCATGTCCCCTCCTGTGGCCAGGCCCCTAATGGCCATCCTGGGCTGCCAGCCTGTTTCCACCCACCACAGCAGAGGCCGCTCTCTAATTACGGGGTGATTAGCACCAGTCTCCCCGGCTAGACAGAAGGTCAGTGTGGGTGTGGGCTCTGCTGTGACAGGGAGGAGCAGTAAGCACTTGCTGAACACGCAGAGGTGGGGACACCCAGCACAGGTGCATCCTGTCCATCGCCACAGGTAAGAAAAGTGTGGTGTGGGGACAGGCCGCCACCCCCAGGTCTGTGTGTGCAGTGGGAAAGAGGAATGGAAGAAGTAATTAGTTCATGCTCCAGCTGGGAAGGCGCTCGGAGTGGAATGGGCCAGGCCAGATAGGGAGGCTGAAGCTGGGGTAGTCACAGGGTTCTGAGTGGGGGAGACACAGCTTGACACAGAGCACCTGCAGGTGTCACAGCCATCACTTCTGGGCTTGTCCCAGCACCTCCCACAGGAGGAGCCAGTTTCAGGGAAGGAAATTCCCCCTCAGCCATCCTCCAGACTCTCTGGGATCCAGCATGTAGATCAGACGGCTGGAGGGCCAAGCCTAGAGAGGGCTAAGCCTAGGGCTCTGAGTTCAGGAATGTTGAGCTGGGACACTCCTGTACCAGCCTGACCACACAGATATTCAAGTGTCTGTGTGCAACTGGCCATTCCTTCAGGAAGGCTCAGGGGCTGGGCGGGTGTTGTGGGGTGGGAAGAGATCGACTGTGTCTCGGGGGCTAAGGGTACACTCAGTGGGGAGTGCTTATCTACCATGTGTTAGGCTCTTAGCTCCTGCCCAAAACCTAGAATCAGGAGTTCACAGTGATGTGAGAATACTCAGTGATGAGTTCAAAGCCAGCCTGGGCTGTATAAGACCCTGCCTCCCGTCCTGACCCAAATGTAGGGGTATGTACGTGTCCTTTCCATACTCCAGTGACTGAAGCAAGAGGATCATGAGCTTGAGGCTTGCCTGGATTATGTCAATCTAGATCAGAAAGCCTAACCAAAAGCCAAAACCAAACATCAACCATCAAGAACTGAGTAGATGGCAATGTCCGGCTCTCCCAACTTGGGGCAACGCCAGCGCCCCTCGATAGAGCAGCAGGGAAACCCGACCTCCTCTACTCCACCATGTTTACGCCAGTTTTAGGAGTCCCAGGACTGGGAAGGCCTGGGCCTAAACTGGGAGAAAAAAATTCCTTCCTCCTGAGCAGAACATGATGTGTGTCCCAGGGAGAGAGGCATCCCTCTCTCTGGGCTGGATTTTCAGCCAAAGGCGTGGGCAGCTGAGGTCAGACACCAGATAAGCATCAAGCGGGCAATGGAACCCACGTGAGCCATTAGGCCCGCCCACTTCCCGGAAACGCAGCGTTCCTATCAACGACGGAGACAAATCCCGGAAGCGATCATAGTCCCTCTTCCGGCCACAAAAGCCGTGTCCATTCAAGAGATAAATCCCAACGGCGACGCGCTGAGACCCTGGAGAGACACCGGTCATCTCCGGCCTCAGTTTCCCCCATCTCTCAGCAGCCCGAAAACCCTGCACGCGCCCCGCCGCCTCGCGGCCCTCACCATGTTCCCTGCAGAGATAACTTCCGCCGCTGCACAGTCACTTGCGCTCCCACCGGCGGCCCACAGCGCGCCCCAGCCGAAAAAGACTGGCAGAAACTCTGGCCAATCAGCGAGTGACTGAACGGACACTCACCCAATCGGAACCGGTTAGGGCGGTGCCTACAGACCGCAACGGCCGGCCGCACTGTATTCCCACCGTGGGATTGAGGGGCGGCCGTAAAGTGCGACACTGGAGCGACGCAAAAGGCCGTAGCACAAGTCACGCCCACTCCGGGGTGTATGTTGGGAAAGAGCGCCTGCGCAGAGGTGCACTCCTGGATCTGGTTCGGCGCCACACTGTGGGCGAAGTTGGCTAATGCATGTGAGTCGCGTGGGGTTGGGGGAACACGCCTCGTTCCCACTTCGCGCTCCTAGCCTTCAATTCTCGCCTTTATGGATCTCTTTGTCTTTACCAAGTCAAATGGAATCATTGAACGCGAACGGCAGGTCTGACGTTCCCCGGCGACAGGAAGTGAAAGCTGAAATTGTCATGTTTTGAGATGGGCTTTTGTGGCAGCCGAAGCTAGCTGATCATGAACTCGAATTAGACCCTGACTCAGCTTCTCCTATCAATGGCATGGCCGCTGTAGGCCACTAAGCTAGTTACTTGCTTTTTTTTTTTAAATCGTTATCATTTTGGGAGGGAGATAGTGTTTCTCTGTGCAGCTCTAGCCGGCCAGAAACACTCAATGTAGACCAGGCTGCTCTCGAACTTCCAGAGATCCTAGTGAGTGCTGGGATTGCAGATGTGTACCACCATGCCTAGCATGTTGCATGTCTTTATGTGTCTTTTTGAGATACAAATCCAGGTTCTCATGCTTGCCCAGTGTAAGGGTCTATGATTTGCCAAAGAATGATACCCCAGACTCAAATAGTATGTAAACACAAAGTGTGTTTTATTCTGCAGAAGTCCAGGGGGTCTCCCATTACCAGAATAGACACCCAAGTGAACTTGGAGGTCTGATTTAAAGCACATTAGGGAATTCCGGGATAGGTGACCTCTATGTTAATTTGTTGGGTCCATCTCTGCGGACATTCCATTACTGGGGTATGGGGGCTGGAAACTTACTGGGGAGGTCTGGAAACTGCTGCTAACCCACTGTCCTTGCCTAAGGCCAGGTGGCAGAGCAGCTTCTGAGGCCTGGACTTGCCTGGAATTTCCCAGTTCTTGGAAACAGATTTAGGCCTAGTCTCCTTAACTGCCAGTTTGAAGCCTGTCGTGGAATCAGCCTAGCCTTCTCACCAGGAAGTGATTTGCCTGTGGAGCCACCTCTCCAGCCCTTCTGTTTATTTTTATTTTCTTTGGCTGTTGGCGATGGAATCGGAGCTCCACCCTGAGCTGTCCCAAGCAGGACAGCTGTTTTACCAAGCTGCTGAAAGGTCTTGGCGCAGAATGTTAGCGATGAATTCACTGACCCGGGAGACTCCCTTGGCACCACTACCCAGGGCTGGTCTAAGTGATGAGGTGGGACTCCCGCACTAGGACTGCAGCTCAGCGGGAGAGGTGGAGACCCTGAGCTCTGGCCCCACACTGCTAAAAACAAAGTAAAATAACAATCAGTAAATCCTGAGGAGAAGCTGACAGAATGGGCACTATCAGCACTGAGGAAGTGCTGTTGGAGGGTCACCGAGTTCAAGGCCATCCTCCATTACACCTGTGATTCAAGAACAGCCTAGTCTACTTTACTCTGTCACAAATAAACAAAAGAGGAATGTAGCAGTGAGCCCACTGACCTTGTGTCTAAGATCAGAGAGCGCCTGTCACCACAGAGTCCAGCTCTGAGATGAGGAGCAAAGCATTTGTGATGGAAGAATCTGAGATACCCAGAGAAGGAGCACCCCAGACTGGGTGAATTCCAGCAAAGTTGAAGTCAGCCCTCCTGGGTACCTAGCCCATGCTCCTGCATGCAGAGTGGCGGGTGGGAGCGGGAGCCTTGAAACCTGGGGTGCTCAGTGACAAGTCACCTAAGTCACCTGGGTGAAGGGTCAAAGCTCCCTGGTGGCTACAAAGGACATCCATGTGAGTGTGGCTGCAGAGGGAGGGGGGAGTCCCGGGCTAGGCCACCCCTTTGTGCCTCTTCTAGACTATTCTCTGAGCAGGTTCTCTTCTTTGCCCATTCGGTGCCCCATGTGGCCTAATGTCACTCCTCTCGTCCTGTTTTTTTTTTTGTTTGTTTTCCTGCTCAACAACCAGGATGAAACCTAGGGCCTTGCCCATAAGCCCCTCCCCAGCCGCCACTGTCATGACCTAGTGAGCATTTCACAAGCTTGTCTTTAGAGAGTCCCTGCTTACAAGCAGGTAGGTTCAAAAGACAGGAAGGGTAGGAAGCATCAGGCAGGCTGCATCCAGGAGTAAATAAAGCCATCGCTTGCTTGCAGTGGAAAAATGTCCCTCCGACCTGGGTCCCTGCACTCCAGCCACTATGAGAGGAACTTTATCTGACTGGCCAAATGGGCCTGTGTGCATGATGGCCACAGCAACACCCTCAGTGACTGCACCTCACACCTCTGCCTCCAGCCCCAGAAGCTGGCAAGTGCTGAAGCAGCAGTGCTGAGCTTCCAAGTGTAGCCTGGGCGTCTGCACCTTCATGAACAGATGCACCTGAGTGTTCTTCCAAGAAGACAGGAACAGGGTTCCAAACAGGGTTGGATAAAGAACAATCGGGCACAGGGTGTGGTGGCTTCCACCTTTAACCCCAGCACCCTGGAGGCAGAGGCAGGTGGATCTCTGTGAGTTAGAGGTCTACAGAGTGAGTTCCAGGACAACCAGAGCTACAGAGAAACCCTGTCTTGAAAGACAAAGAAACCGCTGAACCTGCAAGATGGCTTAGCAGGTAGAGGAGCTTGCTGCCGATGAATTTGATCCTGCTACCCACATAGTGGAGCCCAGCACCCCACATATGCACACACAAATAAGAAAAATGTAATACAATTTTTTTACATTTAAAAGAAGTTCTATTTTCTCTAACTTTTTAACATTCTGTTTTGCAGCACTGTTGTGTGTCTTGTATGCAGGTGTGAGGGAGGGTACGTGTGCCCTCGTGTGGCCTTCAGAGGCTGGATGTGACATCAGTCCTCCTCAGTCCCTCTCCATCTTACTTGTTGGGGAAGCGTCTCTTACCTAATCTGAAGCTGTCCTTTCTGGCTAGACTAGCTGGCCAGTGAGCTCTTGGCACCTCAATGCCTCTGATGCCCCAATGCTGACTCATGTATGGCTGTGCCTTACTTTTACATAGGGATTTTTAAAAAAAGATTTATTTATTTTTATTTATGTGAGTACACTGTAGCTGTCTTCAGACACACAAAAAGAGTGCATCGGATCCCATTACAGTTGGTTGTGAGCCACCATGTGGTTGCTGGGAACTGAACTCAGGACCTCTGGAAGAACAGTCAGTGCT